CCACAGGATGCTACCCACCTCTGAGGCCAGATCCTGCCTCGGCAGCAAGGCCGGCACACGGGTGCTCCGAAACCACACCGTGCCCAGGGCTGCTGCTCGCTGGGGCCAGAGACCTTCTCCCCAGCAGGAAGAGGGGGACATTGGGCAGGAGGAGCCCCCGGAGCCCAGCAGCGCTCGCTCCCGGGCGCTCTGGTTCCCTCTCTTGCTGCAGCAGTCACCTCGCCAGCGCCCGCGCCCTGGGCTGCTGCCTTGGAGCAAGACTGCAAAGGCGGCCGCGGCGCTGCCTAGGACCAGCCCGGCCTGGCCAGTGGGAGCCAACGGAGAGAGCCTGTCCCCAGCCACACTAGTAGGGAAGTGACACATCGGGGACAGGATGAGGACACCTCCCAGCGCCTTTCAAGGCTGCACAAGCTGTTTTTACAAAAGCCAGCTATTCCCACAGGGTTCTCCACACTCAGCAGAGGAACTTCTGGGAACTTTTGTCCAAGCTCACGGTTCTGCTGAGCTCCCTGAGCATACGGACTGCCTGTGCCAGCTGCAAGCAGTGCCTCCATGCAGGGCTGCTCGCACCGTCCCTGCGCTCCCGGCTTGGCTGGGTGACACCTCTGGGCAAGCACTACCTGAGCCGCAGGCCCTCACCTGGTACAAGAATCTTTGGCTAAACTGCTGCATGGCTCCCTGGAGCTGGTTTCGCTGGGACTGCCACTGCTCGTAGTTCCTCACGTACTCGGCTGTGGGGCGCTGCCACGTGGTCGTCCTGGTGTTGTGGTCGACATAGTAATACCTTCCTCGAGGATCCACGCGCTTCTCCCACCTGGAGACACCATGGGAAGGAAACGTCACCCCACGTGCTCTCCTAGTCCTTGTTTCGCTGCCTCAGGGCTTGATCATCTCCCACTCCGAGGGAGCCTGACCAGACTCACGTGCACCCTCCAACACCCCTCCTGCTGCTTGGAGCCTGATCACACAGCACAGGGCTGCTGGACCAGCCCCCCTTGGTGAAGCCTCTGGAGCAGAGCCCCTGGGACACATCCCTCCTCAAGCACCAAGCAGTAACACAGCAGAGACATGACAAGTGACGCTCCCTCCTATGACAACCAGCCCAGCACAAGTCCTCCCCAAGACCAGCGCACCCACCAGTGCTGCTTGAAGGACATGGCTGGTTTACCCACAGGTAAACCCACATCCCAAGAAGGGGACCACCCTGGATGTCCTCCCCAGAGCCGCATGGGAGCTAGTCCTGGAGTCCTTTGGACAACCCACTCCAGCTGAAGAAAGGAGCAGCACAGCCCGCTCTGGTGGCAGGTGTCTCCAGCCGGCGTGTGGCAACTCAATACTAATGCTAGTGTGAAGGTATGGGGGTCAGGAGAACGAAACCTCGCAGAGCTAAAGAGGCATGGCAGAAGTCACAGAACATGGTCTAGCATGGAGGAATCTCCTATTTCTCTTGCTAAGAGTTGGCTCTGGGGGCCCTGGACAAGGAGCAGCAGCTTGAGAATGTTCAGCTGCTGCCCAAGAACGTGTTGAAAACAGAATTTAGAGGAGCACTGCGTTGTGAATTCAACCAGCTGCCAAGCTCCCACCGTGCTCGCCATGCAGTGGCTCAGAAGTCACGACAGACTGAGTTCTGGCTTGCAGAAACACTTCCAGGGCTCACTGGCCTCTAGAAATACAGGTTAAAAAACAGCTCACCATCCTTCAAGGGCAGGAGACAGTAAGAGTTGTTGGGCCTACAAGTTTAGTCATGGAGGCTGTGACTTTTCTTGTCACTCTGACACTAAGGGCAGATTTCAGGCACTCAGGTTTGGCTCCTCTCACCAGATTGAGCACTACTCTTTAAACATGAGGAGCATGAGTTTTCAGGAGCACAAAGAGAAGGTGTGTATTCAACCAGCTTCTGGAAAATGCAGGGGCCCAGAGAGGTGTGTACCGTCCTCATGGCCTGCAGATTGTTTACTTGTGCAAATGAAAGCCCGTCCCTCCTGGCCACAAGCTTTGCAGAGCTCTTCTAGCACATCTCGCACAGCTAAGCTGGCGGCTTCTTCTCAAGAGCGGGCAGCGGGCTAAGAACTTGAGACCTCTCCGAGGAGGACAAGGTCCAACCCCAGGTTTGGGAAACACTGGGCATGTCTGCTTTTGCTCACCGGGAGCTCAGGCCTCTCAGGTTATTCCTCAGCTAAGGCTCTGTGTTGCCTAGAAAAGCAGACACCTATCCCCTCTCCTGGTCCTCAGGGAGACTTTGCAGGCACTTGTCCCAAAAGCCGACCTGCTCTCCCCAAAAGCCATTACTGCTACTCAGGTTGCCAGTGATTTCCACAGGCTATTAAAAATATATATATATATATATCTGTGTGCGCGCACACATGTGTGTGTGTATATATATTTTAATAAAGGCCAAAATGCAACAAATATAAAGGTCTCTCAAGCCCTTCTTAAATAAATAAATAAATAAATAAATAAAGGCCTTCTACAGGATGAAGCACGTGTTTTCAAGGCAGTAAACACGTGATCATCTCACCTCATTTCCTTTTTGGAATGAAAAGACCTTCCTCCACCCCCTCCAGCCACCGACTTCCCCCCTTCTTTGCAGCCTCCTGGGCAGT